ATGTTGTGATGGTGTCCCGATCATGTTTTGATTGTGTCCCAGTCATGTTGTGATGGTGTCCCGGTCGTGTTTTGATGGTGTCCCGGTCATGTTTTGATGGTGTCCCGGTCATGTTGTGATGGTGTCCCGGTCATGTTTTGATGGTGTCCCGGTCGTGTTGTGACGGTGTCCCGGTCATGTTTTGATGGTGTCCCGGTCCTGTTGTGATGGTGTCCTGGTCATGTTTTGGCGGTGTGCCGGTTATGTTTTGATGGTGTCCGGGTCATGTGACGGTGTCCCGGTCATGTTGTGATGGTGTCCTGGTCATCTTGTGATGGTTTTCCCGTCATGTCATGTTTGTGTCCCGCTCACCTTGTGATGGTGTCCCGGTCATGTTGTGATTGTGTCCCAGTCATGTTGTGACGGTGTCCCAGTCATGTTGTGATGGTGTCTCGCTCATGTTGTGACGGTGTCCCGGTCATGCTTTGATGGTGTCCCGGTCACCTTGTGATGGTGTCCCGGTTATGTTGTGATGGTGTCCCAATCGTGTTGTGACGGTGTCTCGGTCATGTTTTGATGGTGCCCTGGTCATTTTGTGATGGTGTCCCGGTTATGTGATGATGGTGTCCAAGGAAGAGATGGTCGATGTGTTGAAAACAGCAGCTGTTTCCAGATTGTTCTTTTTGTCCCGGTTTGTATCTTGCTATTGGGGTCTCCAGCTGGGCTAATTTCTTTGTATGTTGACATTTCCACTCGGATCTACGCGCAGATCTGAACACTTTTATTAGTTGACTTCAATCGAGGTCCTGGCCAATTGATTTCAAGACATATTGGTACCAAGGGATGTTCTTCGCTGTTGACCGGTCTTATATGTTCGAAAGTTCAAGAAAGCCACAAAGAGCCCCCTATGATCTGGTTCATGTTCCCGCCCTATTCATGCCCCCGTCCCATTTTTCAACATTTCATGACGTGATGCCGCTGAAAATGGGTCTTTGATGCCCCCCCCGTGTGTGATGCACGACATCTCATGGATGGACGTGAGGAAGAGAGCGGGCAGATCACCGATGCCTACACCTGTGAGTAGCTCTGCCGCATCGTGAGCCCTCTTTTTTTTAATTCCTCGCTTTTTGGGTCGGGGTGGCACGAGGATGAGGAGGCGTGCAAAAAAGCTGAGTCCGGAGGAGTATAGGGTGCAAACGAGGGGGAGGGGAGAGAGTAATCCTCAAGAAGCTTCAACATGCTTGCTGTGTGAGTGGTTCCAACAGCTGGTTCCAGTCCACATCATCGAATAGCTTGGCCTTTTTTGGTCGTTTCTCCGATAACTGGGCGGCTGGGCCTTTTTTCCCACGGGAGGAAGCCGAACCAACCCTTCCGCTGGACAGATCCGATCTGGAAGGACGAGAAGGACAGCGCCGGACTCACTAACCATGGAAGTGGATTGATTGTCTGTCGCTAGGGGACAGTCATCGATGTGCTCGTCGGAGTGTAGTTGATGTTCATAGATGACCTCTTACTATTGGTTGATGCATGGAGGGAATATCCCCAAGCATACAACCAATAGGTATGGGGTACCAAACTAGTCCCTCTACTTGTTCCAAAATGATATCATTGGTTGATATACCATGCTCACTTAAAGATGTGGGAAGCTTGGGGCCACAAACCATTTCATGGGATATCCACAGGTTGCGGGAGCCACTGCCAGCCTCTTCCGTTGTGCCCCTGAGGCAGTGCAAAGGTCTACTTCGCTTTGCTTCAGAATCGTTTTCTTTTGTGCTGGAGGAGCCCCCACGCCAAGCAGTGATGCATGAAACAGAAACGGATATACAGAGCCAGGTGCTAGATAGACCCAAGTGTTTGCGTAAGATGTTTGTGAGAGAGCTAGAACACGCGTTGCGTTCAAGCCGGATACCGCACCAATCTGGCCGTAGGGCCGTAGTGCAATGGGGTGAAGCCACAATTCGACCCGGAGCCTAGATGGTGTCACACACATACGGGAAAGAGACTTCTGAAAACTGTGAGCTCCTATCACTTGGGAGCAATTGAAAGGTGTTCTAGGTCACTTCCTGGAGCAGGGTCATTCGAGCTTTCGGTCAGTGGTCTTTCTTTTGGAGGCTTGATAGATAGACCCCAGGAGAAAATCGGGTGAAGACCCCAAGAACTTAAGAATTGATTGGTATTTGAGTTCTTGAAATCTGCTCATTTATCTTGTTTATGCTCTCTGGAACCAACATGGACGTGGAAAATGGAGCCCTGGAAAGCCATTTTCGTCTATACAAACAGGTTTTTCCACTTCCTCGATAGCTCCAGGGAGAGCAACTCAATTCTCAAAGTGAAAGGGCCAACACTGCATTGATGAAACCCTCGGCATCTTCGTTTTGAGGCAAAACATGCAGCTTTATTGTGGTCACTCCCACTGCCTGCGTCAATGGCGAGCACAGCTGGACTTCCGTGACCTGCAGCTCGGCGGAATGGCCGACGGAGCTTGAGCTCGGCTGCAGTTGCAGAAGGAGCTGAGGGAGCTCTCCCATCACCCACATCCTACAAGTATGGGGGGAGTCACCCAAAAAATGTTAAACAAGTTGATTGAGTGAAGTTTTTGAACATAACATGAAACAGGATAAAACCAGATTTTTGATATGGTTGATGTCTTCATTTTAATCAACCATATCAAAATCAAAGCAGTCAAAGCATCATTACCTCATTCAATTTTCAAAATCAAAGCAGCCAAAGCATCATTATCTTATTCAATTTATAAAATCAAAGCAGTCAAAGCATCATTACCTCATTCAATTTACAAAAT